AATTTATAAAAGTTTTCTACATTTACTTTCCAGCCATGTTCTTAACAACTAGAACTGGTTCTCAAGACCAATAGTCAGTCAACAGCAAGAAAGCAATCAAACCACAAAAGGTTCTATAGATGACAGAAAGGAACAGAGATGATAAAAAATGAGGAGTACAGCCCAGAAAACTCTGTTTATTGCATAAAAATATTTTAGTATTCTATGAAATAAGGAAGTATTTAATGATTACAAATATCTCAAGTACAGTGAAGATATCACAGGACAACAGAATTGCAGGGGTTGAAAGTGATCTCAGGAGAATATTGAGTCCAGCCCCACTGCTAAAGTGTATACCCTACAGTTGGTCACACAGGTAGGCATCTAGATGGGTCTTGAATATCTCCACAGAAGGAGACTCCTCAACTTCTCCAGGCAAGCTGTTTCAGTGTTCCATCACTCTTATTGTAAAGAAGCTCTTCCAAATAAATCTGCTTAAAATAACTGCTATTGACAGGTTCAGCTCTACTCATCTAAATATAACACCAGCCCTCATTTGATATTAAATGTGATTAATTACATTGTTGTCCAAGACATCAACCCACATTTTACAACTGGATGTTGAATATAAGAAAACAAAAATAAGTTTAATTTAGAAACATATTAGATGTTAGAAAGGACTCTGTAGGTCATGTTGAGGGAATACTGTTCTGTACATTTCTCTGGCCCACAAAAATATGTATTTCTTAATGTTCATAGAAAAAAAAAAAAACAAAAAAAAGAAAAGCTTCCGTGTTCCTTAGGTCAGAGATTGCTCTTTTTCAATTTAGTCAGAAGTGTTTGTCAGTCAGGTCTGCTATCTGTAGAAATGATACTTCCATCTAATTTACATTTAATGTGCAAACATGAGCTTTATTTGGCTTTTAGGCCTAGATTCAGATTCCCTATGTGTCCTTTTTAAGATTCACAACTCATAAAACAAAACATTCTGGCAACTGGGCAATCCAAGCTGCTTAAGTATTTACTTTCACATTATCTTCATTAGCAAAGCTATAACAACATGTTTCTACTGATCATCTCTACTTACTTATTCCAACTTCTGCACTATCGCCTATTATTCTTTCACTTTTGACAGTGCTGCTACAAACTAGGCCATTGATATCATCTGAGTTTACAAGTAACTTCCCTCTGAAAATTTTTTTTTATTATTTTAGGTGTGGTGGGTTTTTTTTCTTCATTTGTTTGGATCTTTTTGAATACATCAGGAAGTGAGATTCACAAACAATTGCATTAACAAAAATCGACTGAAATGAGCTGGAGTGAAGGAGATGAAACATGTCTTGGAAGTGCTTACAATCATGCTGTTAGCAAAAAAAAAAAAAAAAAAAAAAAAAAGTAAATGCTTACACTTAATGAAGAGCAATAGGTGCCTTTGAAAGGAAAGCAGGTGCTTGCTTCCATACACTGTGTGTGATGCCCCTGATGTTGCTCATAGTAACACCAGATAAAAGGGTAATAACATCCTGCCTCCTCAGTGTGTGTTTTTGCCCGTGTATCTCATGTCAAATCCGGTGAATTTTGCAGGATTCTCAAAGTTTCAAAAAACCTAACAACAGCAAGTATAAGGAATTATGGCTTTTCCAATCTCATTATGGCAAACATAATATTAAACATAAGTTGCCTCAAAAAAAGAAAAGTATGAAAAGGGATTTTACACTCACATAATGACCACGAAGAATTTAGAACAGGAGCATTCAATTAGCAACCAAACAGTATAACATCCCTCTCTCACCTCCTCTCTGCCTTTTCCTGGCTATTCTTAGCTGCCTATAGATAAGATCAGGCCACATGTCAGTTTTAAAATAAATCAATGCATTACTGAAAGACATGGGGTACAGACAGACCCTTTTGTGCCCTAAAAATAAAGGAATGCTCCAGTTTCTTATAGGCAGCTCTGCTTGCTACCCCAGAGATGTATATCTGGGTTCTATTCTGTGTCCTGTCAGAGATACAGTTTGTGATTAGCAGAATTAGCCTCCTTCCTGCCCTGTCTATAGTATGACAATAACAGTATGGAGCTTCCTGGCAAGGGAGAAGATATTCTTCTCTGCATTATACATCAGAATTTTTGTAGTACCTACAGTACTCCTCTATGAGCAGTACATCTCCAATTATGGATCTCAGTTTTAGTTTAAATAAAACAGTGGGTTAGCCTATGCTATGTGTGAAATGGAATTAAAAGTCTTAACACCTTGAGATATTTGCATTTTCTGATTCTGCATTTTTAAATTTTTAGTTGAATTTATTACAGGCTTGACATTCCAGGTAATTTGTTTTTCCTATTCTTACATCATTCAGTGACAATACTTGTGGACAATTTTATCACAGTTTGCCACTGCAAAATAAAATATCATTTGAATTCTTATTTTGAGAAACCAGAATATATTTCAAATACTTTTTGAAAAATCAGCATCTCCAATCTGAATTTTTTTCTTCCTCACAATTTCTCAAAACCAAACATCTGTCAAGGTGGCAAATAAAAATAAGGAATTATTTCAGTTTTTTTTCAAGAAGGACACTGTATTGGTTAATTTCAGCTATCTCCCTTTTCTTAGTCATTGCTTGTTTGCATAACTGGATGAAAATTTGTAGAGGTGATTAGGACTAAGAGTAAACCACACATTTATTAAGTAATTTCATTTTCATCTCTAAGATACAATATTCAAAAAGTGTGAACTTTAAACAAATGATTAGTCACGGGTAGGTTGACAGATTTCTCCTTAAATCTTTTAATTATACAAAAAAATTCTAATTTAATTTAAAAAGTTTTTTTGAGAGCAGCCTTTTGCTAATATTTCCCTTCAACACAAACGCAGGAGTGAAATCTGCTTTTAAAAGCACTTCATTTGGAGAGCTATTTTTCTGTTTTTCTTTTATCCCTTTCCTCTCCATCATATATATATATTGCCTAACGATCAATTGATTTGCTCTTAGTTGCAGTAGAAATATAGTGGTGGTCTAAAAGAAGACTGGTTAATCAGATATAACACACCCAGAGGAACACTTTAGAGACAGTAATCTACATAAAACATAGCTGAGCTTATTGGGGATGGAGCTTAGTCACAGAAATATACAGCTCTGACTACACTGTTATATTACACGTGCACAGAGAATTTCAAAAACTCTTAGAGGTATACACTTCCAGGTTCCTTGAAATGGTGTGTGTCTTTTTAGCATACTATTACTGGTTTAGTCAGGAAGAAGTATTTGTCATATTTAGATGCTATTTGGTCTCTTCACACTTCACAAATAATACAGAAGCTTTGAAAAAAAGACACAAAAGCAACAAAAAAAAAAACACCAGCGAACCACTGTACAGTAAAATAAAACAGAGCCAACAAATAAATTTAGCCAGCACATTCTTGAATTGGTTTCAGTACCTTAAATACTGATTCAATTTAAAAGGCTATATATCAAACTCGTATAAATATCCTTACCTAGCACTCTTTTTCTAATGCTAAAAGCTGTGCAACCAATAAGGCTTCTAGGTAATTATTTTTAAGCTAGATTCTACTCTCAGCTAGACTTTTAAATCCCAAATGGAGCTGCTGTCATAAACTTGCAGTCTTTTTCTGAAGACACTATTTTAGCTTTCAAAAAAAAACACTATAAATTTATTTGGATGTTGTTGAAAATAAAGATTTAAAGAAATGACATGAATCCTGTCTTAGAGAGAAAAATGAGTGATGTTGTTTTCATAACCTTTTACAAATATCGCTTACAGAGTAACCATTCTTTAAAATTATATACTCCTTTTGACATTTTCAAAATCTACAGGAAGATACAGTGACATCACTAATTGATCTTTTAAAAGGAGAACAAAGCTAATGAATAAAACAAAACAATTCTGATCTTTCCAGTATTAACACATCAGTATTATCAAAAGCCAAACTATATTCCTTTTCCCCTTTTCTAAAATTCTGCTTGACAATTCATTCTGTAACACAAAGAGATTGGCTGTTTTATTCTGCATTAGCATGGATGCTGAATCATCTACAGAAATAGGGCAAAGGACAGCAATGATATCATTACTGATCAATCATAAAATAAAAATCATGTATATCAACATGGCTTTTTAGTGCTACGATTATATAGTTTACACCTGGAAAAATAAATGGAAGTCAGCTGGCACAGATTAACATTAGTTTACCTAATCAACTCTCATACTCTCTTTCTCAATTTAAAACAAAAAAGAAGAAGAAGAAAAGAAAAGAAAAGAAGTTGTTGCATCAAAACTGCCTAGTGGTAATGCTTCTGTATCCAAGAATTTTTCAGGAGAGGGCAAATTAGCATGGGCTGAAACCCCATTTCTAATAAAACAATTCTGTCATGTTCCCACACTGAGAAGACAGCATGACACTGTCTGGTTTACTAGCATATGTATAACACATAGACTTGAGAATCATATTATCAAACTAGAGAAGGATATTGGTTCAAAATATAATCTAGTGAAGGTATAGATCTAAAGAACCAGGAAGGACAAAACAGTACATGTGAAAAAACAGATGTTTCAAAAAATTAAGTTTTAGTCTTAGTGGTATTCCATCTCAGATTACATAATGTTTGTTTCTACAAAAAATGTTAGAGTAGATAATTCTGTAATTTTGATTTGATGATTTCTCCTATCATTTCAGATGAACTGCTTTATACAGCAACAGACTTACATAATAAATGCATAAAAATCAGGTAAGAAAATGTCCCTTCACATTTCGAAAGACAATGAATCATTCTGTAATAAGAAAAAGACTCAACAGACAGGCTATTTTTCTGGAGAGCTGCATCTACCATGTGATTGAAGGCATAAACCTTCTGGCCTTACACCTTATGAATTACTCAAGTTTGCAGTAATCTACATGAAATTTACGGCCTGTCATGTTTTGTTGCTTAATTAGCAACTTGTCAAAAATCTATGCCATATAAATGCAATTTTAGTTTTTTTTAACTCCCACATCTTCACCTACTTTTTATTGGGATAATGAGCTGAGGAATGACAGGAAGAATCTTGTTTTCACCATGTTCCAGCATGTCATGGATTCCTTGACGAGCAAAAAACTCATATGGAAATGTCATTTCACAAAGTCCATCAAAAAACAAAGGCAGATAATAATGGTAGTCCAGCTTCTCAATTTCTACCTGAAAATATAAAATAAATAGTCAAATACAATTTTACAAAACAAATACAATATTATCAGGTTGACAGATAATTAGTGCCATCTAATAAGTACATTTAGAAAATAATAATTGATTTTATATCACTGAAGAGTATCATTGAGTATCATTAAGTCTCCAGCAAGATATATCACAAGATACTGAAATACCAAAAAATATTTGATGTAAGGATCAGAAAGAAAATTAGTATGCTCACATATACTTTCTGAACAGCTGCCACTCAACTCAGTTGTTTAGATGAAACTAACATTTCAAGCATCTGAAATTTGAAAGCTTCCTGATTTTTCAGTACCAGATCCTTACATTTTTGCTTATATACCTTACTCTGTAAGTCACCCACAGGAATCAATGCTGTTATTTCAAGCATAACATTCGGTTTGCTTCAGAAAAATCTGATCACTATATGCTCACTTGGACATTCAAAAGAACAAATAAGAAAAAGAATCCTGTAACCAAAAACATATCCAGCATTGTACAAGTATCAGTATTTGTATAGAATACCCAACTTCCTAGAATATTGACCTAATTTTATTTGTTACTCATTTCAGGAACAGAATTCTAAGAAAATTTCATTGAAAAATCATAGTGAAACTAAGTACCTATTTCTAATAGGAATCTCCCTCCAATACTAAACTAGAAAGTGAGGGATTTTGCACCCACCTTTTCTTTTCTCTACTCATCATTATCCTGATGTTACATACATTTATGATAGCCAGTGAGAAAAAGAATTTGTTTGCTTTCAGTTTATTAGAGCTCTGAATATAGCTAAGAGGCTTTCAACAGCCAAGCATTTCCTCTGAAAAGCTTAAGATCATCAGAACTACTGAGAGACTAATCCATCTCTTTAGGTAACCTCTTCTTTAAAACACTGCCTAACTGCTACACTATTTTTCCAGTGAGATGGTATTTTGGAATTTGGTAAGCACTTCCTCCTTCACATCTAACAAACTTTATCACAGAGTATGCTGAAGCTCAAAACATCCTATGAAAAAATTTCTCAAGTTAAGCAAACCAATACTCATCCCTTGATTTAGGGCCAATAACATTCTCACTTGAATCATGGAAGTCAAGCAAATACCAGACATGCATTGGCCACTGTCATTCATTTTCCACCCAGCCTGACTCTAAGCAGACCTGACCTTGCACATCATAGCTACTGACTAGACCACTTCAGTCTTTCACGTTACAACTGATCTACTTATGATAAATGAAAATTAAAATGGAAAAAGTATTTGAAAGTAAGTCCTTTATATTTGCTCTGAATATCTCACTATTGGCAGATGTAGAGCCAATTACATACTTCAATACCCTCACATATGAGAATGTTGATCTCTAATGAGTCTAAAAAGAATTACTGCATTATAACTACCTACAAACAAACAAAATCAATTTCTAGTTGTGAGCCTTACGGAGGAAGGAAAAAATAAAATCCACATTTCCTAGCAGTGTATCTATAACATTGTATATGATTGCCATTTTTTTTTTTTTTAATTTCAAAGCAACCAAAAAAATAAAATTCAGAAGATATTTACATTATCTGTATTTATAGTTTTTGACACTCAGCATGTTATGGATCAGGCTTGTGAGCTAGTAAAATAGCTACTGCAGACTTCTGTTTACAAGCCCAATTCAGAAGCCAAATTCCTAACTACAGAGACAAGTTTTCGTCAAGTGAGAAATGTCCAGCTAGTCAAAAAAATATTGATGAAAAAGGAAGAGCAAGAAGAAGACATTTTTTCTTGTCCTCTGTCCTTCAGTGTTTTTCTTTCTAACTTCTAATTTGTAGTTTACACAGTTATTTGATTACAATCTCATTACTGGAAGTTCGGCTTTCAGAAAATTTAGAACAAAATCTACAAGTACTTGTACCTGGGCAAAGCTTTAGATGTGAAAGTGAGATATATGTATTTTTTAAAGTTGTGGGTTTTTTTTGTGTTTTTGTGAGTTTTTTTTTTTTTTTTTTTTTTTTTTTTTTCCCCAAAAGAAAACCACCTTTGTCAGAATATAACTCCATTTCATTTGTTTTCTTTTTTAAAATGCATTCCTTACATGGACTTTAGACAACTCTTTCAAAATTACAATTTCCAGGGAAGTACACAACTTTGTCAAGTATAAGGATCTGCAACTATTCTGATCAAAACATATAAAATAGAATCCTTCTTATTTTTTCTCCTTCTCTCTCTTAACATCTCATCTTCTCTGCATGTACCAGCAATCTTTTTTTCTCAAAGATTTTCTGATAGTCTGAGCAACTTCACTCAGCTATTCTTTGCCCTTAAAATCTGACTTTTATGATCCAGACATGAAGAAAGCTTATGCGTTCAAAAGCTTCTTCAATTTGTCTTCCCAGTGATAATATCTACTCATTAAACAATGTAACCTTAGCACTGACTTACAGTACATTACATAAACATAAAAGTGATACATTGACTTTGAGGACAATACAATTTCTGGTTAAAAAAAAATATTTTTTTTCATTATACTAAACTTGCTGTTGAAACAATATCTCCACAATATACTGGTATTACAAGCACTAGATAACAAAGCACTTGTGGGTACTCTTCTCAATTAGTTTCCAAAGCCATCAGTGGACAGCTTTGGATCAGTGGTATGTCTCTGAAAAGAACTCTGATTTCTATCTCAATTCTTGAAGTTGTCCAAGCATACAGCTGTCCAAGCATACAGCATATTTTTACTTGCGTTTTGTGCTCTATAATAACTCCCACAATATGGATCCCGGAAATATTTTGTCTTACATTCCATGGTGTGAAACCCTTTTCTTCTGTGTTTACTGTTTAGCCTTTAAAAGTGGCTATTATACAACTGTTCAGAGAAAAATGCGATTTTTCTGCTTACGCCCACAAATCCTGTTGTTCAAATCCATACACAAAAAGTGCTGATGAAAGACTAAATTCTTGGCAAAACTTGTTCACATCTAACAATAATGCTGCAAATATGAACTCAAAATAATTATTAATGAACTTTCATGTAGCGGTAAATTGAACCAAGAACCTGAATTTTCAGTAATTAGGTCAAATAAAAAAATCCCTAAGTTACTATAAAATATGATCAGACAAAGAAGACCACTGTGTAAGCATCAGTAAAATTTTCTGTTTTGTGGCATTTCTGAGCTACCTATGTCAAAAATAAAATAAACAATATACAGTTCACACTTCTTTTATCAATGTGTATAATTCACCGAAGCACAAGATGGAAGGAAAGTATCATTTTTGGAAGGAAAGTATCACTATGGAAAGGCAGTATCACTTTTACAGAATTATTTTTTTCTGCAAGAAAGCCTTTCCTATGAAGTAGCTAAAAATGAGAGGCAAGTCTGCTGGGATAATGAGAAGCCCAAGTTTAGTCTGTAAATAGTAAAAAAAAAAAACAAACAAACAAAAAAACAAGTTCCCTGGCTAATCTGCCTGATAAATGGAGAAAGCAAGATAGCTGAGAAAACTTAAGGTATAGAAGTTTGACAACTAGCTTATTACTGACCTTCCTTAAACAAACAAATTTAAAGCAATCTGAGTTTTAGGAGATAGCATTTAACATATAGAAACAGTGTATTTTCCATCTTATTATTATCCACATAATACTATAAGTTTTTGATACAATTATCCAAAAACTGAATTTGATATCCCAAAAACATTGTATCAGACTACTTATAAATTCATTTAATTCCTTTATTTAAAACATTAAGTATATAAGAAGAAACTGCAATTTTTTGTTTGATAAGGAGAAAAAGGAACTTTTGTAAACATAGTAAAGATTTTACATGGATTCTCTGATAAAATAATTGTTTCCTTTAAGATTTTTTTTCCATTCCATACCACCTTCAGTTGAAAAATTCTAACTATTTCATCTCCATTTCCTAGCTTGGTAGAAAGAGAAAAGCAGAAATATTCTTGAATATTCTGTTTTGAAGTTCTTTCTGATTTTAGGAAAAAAAGCTTTCCTTCCACTTTAGTTCAAAGTTCTTTTTTTTTTTGTCTTCAAACATTCTCTACCTGTAATCAAGACGAAGCTTGTGCATTTCACAGTTTGTGGTTTATTCCCTTTAGTATATTTGTTCCCTTTAGTATATCTGCTCTTTTAGTATATTTGTCATACATGGGTTAACATTTGTCATGTTAATCCATAATTAGTCTGAAGTCTGTAGTCTTCTCTATAGAACATCAAACGCTTATTAATATTTTCTAGACCTGATTAGATGGTGTTTTTAGTATGGTAACTTTACTTATGGTGCTTATATTTCAAAACTCAATCCTACTGTTGCATTTAGTCCTTAAAGGTTTACCAATAAAAAGATTCAGTTTGCTGAATTTCACCTTTCAGTATACACTACATAGGATAGTAATATAAAAATTCTCTCTTGAAAGAACTTTAGCATAAATTATTACCTATATTCTACCTATAAAAATGAGAGACCTACAGTTTACATTCTCCAATACAATAAGGTATGTATCTTGGATGGAGATTGGTGTCCTCCAGGGCTTAGTGTTGGGAATGATACTCTTTAGTAACAGAGTTGGAACACCTCTCCTGCAAGGACAGGCTGAAAGCTGGGGCTCTTTAGCCTGAGGAGAGGAGGCTATGAGGGGACCTGATAGCAGCTTTTCGTTACTTAAAAGGGCTGGATACCTGAGCTAAGGACAATAGGATGAAGTCCACCAAGACCAAGTGTCAGGTCTGCACTGTAGGCTTGGGGCAGAGTAGCTGGAAGACTGCATGGAAGAAATGGACCTAGGGTGTTTGTCGATGCTAGGCTGAACACCAACAGTGCGCCGCTGTACTGAGTTCTAGCAAGGGACACAAAGAATAATGCATTCAGTTTTGGGGCCCACACTACAAAAAAGATATTGAGGCCCTGGAGCATGTCCATAGAAGGGCAACAAAGCTGGTGAAGCATTTGGAACACAATTCTGATGAGGAGCAGCTGAGGGAACCAGGATTGTTTTGTC